AACAGGGGGCCACATGCTTCCCCACACCCCAGGCAGCTTTTACCTCATTCCCTTCCCTTGCTCCAAGCACCTCCAACATGACCCTGGCACCCCAGCTCTAAGCCTCATTGGGTCCCTCCTTCCTTGATCCTCAATCCTGGAGTGCATGAGAGAATCAGAGAGTGGGCTGGGATGCAGGGGTGAGTGGGCCACAGGGTGGGCAGTCCAGGGGCAAGGAGGCTGCAGGCTCCCCTTGGGCCACCTAGCTGACATGTTGGCAGGAGCCCAGCGGCGTTAGTCACCATCACACCAAACACACTCCCTGCTTCTCTCCCGCCCCCTTCTCCTGGGCCAGCAGAGGGGCCCTAGTGCAGGGGGCACCTGAAGGGCAGGGACCTCCCTGAAGCCATCGGGTGGAGGGCATGGGACCAGCAGATACCAGGGTGGCTCTGGGCCATCTCCTGGCCTGCGGGCATCTACAGATGAAGACACAAAGACTGACTGACCCTCTTCTCCGCTGCAGGAACCTCAGAAGCCCTCGAAGGTCCTGGGCTCCTTGCAGGGGTCCTTGAATGCCAGGGCAGGGTAAAAAGAGTGGCCATCCCTGGCACCGATCCCTTTTCTGCTGCCTCTTTAGTGCTCCACTGGTGCTTCTTCCCTGGGACTGTATGGATAAGACCCAGGCCCTTGGCTGGGAGGAGGCCCTTCGTGGGGGAGCCACATGTGCCAGAAAGAGGGAGCCAGGCAGACTGGGATGAAACACTGCCGTTTGTGCCTGCCTTCACTGAAATCCAGGGGGCAGTCAGTCTGCGAGGGGAGGAAGAGGAGGAAAGGAGATGGGGAGGGCAGCCTTAGGATGAAGGCTTCCCAGCCAGATAAAGCTAAGTTCAGATCTCTGCACCCTCTGCTCATGGAGTGACCTTGGACAATCTCTTGCTTTTCTCAGCCTTGATTTCCCTGTATGTAAGGAAGGGGTTGGTATTGCTCTCCCGGGGGGTCCTGCAGGTAGAGGATGCATTGAAAGTACTCAGGACAAGGCCTGGCAGCGTGTCAGGGGTCCCACCATCACAGCAGGGGAGATTGAAGAGGGGATGCTGGAGGAATATAAGCCTGGAGTGTGTAGTGTCCGTGAGGCGGGGCTGTAGGGTGTTCAAGAAACTGGGTGAGGAAGGCAAGCTGGGGGGCTAGGTCTGGCAGAGGCACTTGGGAACCTGTGGCCCTGGGGAACTCTGGATGGCAGTTGATAGGGTAGGGGCATGGCTGGGCAGAGCTGGCCTGGGGCCTACGCAGCCCTACTGAGGGAATGGGAAGAGCTCCGTCACATTCCCTCTGTATGACACACTATGGCTGCAAAGCGCCCCCGTTCTGCCAGGCACCCACATCAGAAGCCTCCAGGGGTCCCAAGGCATCAGTGGGCTTGAGCACCTGAAGGTGGGAATGAAATAGCTGCAAGCCATCACCCTTTCTGGCCAGAGACAGGAGAAAAGAGAATATAGGCAGGGAGATGGCCACCCGGGCAGGGTTTTGGGGTTGTCCAGGAAGACAGTGAAGACTGCATTGAGAATGGCCATGTGGGGACCTTCTGGGGAGGAGGAGCCTGGGTAGTCTCCTTTCTGCCTCTGGTCCCTGCAACCTGAGCCCAGCAGCCGCCTCTGCACAGGCCAAAAACTCAGGGAGGCTGAAGAGGTGGGGCGCAGGGCCAATGCCGCGGAAATGACAGCCTCTGCAGAGGATGGACACTGCCCCTTCCAGTGACCTCCATTCTGTGCCCCTTCTCTGGACTCGGGCTCTCTTGACAGAGCGCTGGTGGCCTTTGGGGCCTGCTAGGGACTCAGGCCCTGACATAACTCTACAGGTTAGGGAGGGGGCTGGGGGATGTTAGCCTGGGGTGTCAGGTGGGGTACAATGTTAGCCTGGAAACCCAGTGGCCCTGCCAGTCCATTCCTGAGCCAGGCATCCCCATGCCAAGATGGAGCACAGCAGGTTTACCCTGGCCTCATGCGGCAGGAAGGGAGCAAGGCTTTCGGGGAAATGTGCTGGGCTGTGATATGTTGATGGCACACAGTGACTGGGAGTCATGACATCTATGCCTCTCAGGGACCACCTACTCCTTATTCCGCCCCCTACACACACAGAGGCCAGGCCTCAGCCATCAGGCAGGAGTCTCATCCCCATTTCACAGACCAGGCACCTGAGGCTCTGAGAGGGAAGTGCCTTGCCCAAGTCACCTGGCTCGGAACAGCAGAGCCAGAACCTAAGCCCAGGCCTTGGGTCCTGGCCCCAGCAGTGGGCAGACCAGCCTGGCATCCCAAGTTCTCCCTCTCCTTCTGGCTCTACCATCTGGGACAGTCTGATTTACAGCCAGGCCTGGCCAGCACTTACACGCTTGATTTTCTTGCTTAATCATCCCAGAAAGTCCCATTGTACAGGTGAGCAAACTCAAGGTCACCCAGCCAGGGTAGAGGAGGTTGGGTTTTGAACCTGGGTCTGTGTGATATCAGGATGCCTCCCTGACCAAGGAAGGTGGAGCCTGAACTGGGTCTGTGTGGGCACAGGGGCTTAGTGGGGTGGCGGGGCTCCCGGACTGTGGTACGAACTGGTTGTGCAGTGAAGGGTGCGCGAAGGGACACGTGGATGGGGAGGTGGAAGGCTGTGGATTTACCTAGTGGCCTTGGGAGGTCAGTCCTACCTGAGACATGGCCCTGGGACCTGCTGGGCTGCCTCAGAGCCTCTTGTCTGCCTGCCTTCCTTCCACTGCCTCTGCTCCTGTGTGGTGCCTTTCCTCAGGGTCTCCAGGGAAAGGAATTGGGTTCCAGTTGAGGCAGCTCTGGCAAGGTGGAAGGAACTCAGCTCACGGGAGGGATGAAGGGGGCTGCCTCTGCAACTTTCAGTGTCCAGGGCTTTGCCAGCCCACCCTGAGATGCCCAAAGAAGCCTGTAGAGAGGGGGAGACCAAAGACTTGGAGAAACGTGGTACCCGATGCTGGGTCCCCCTGCCCCAATCAAGTCCCCGGGTCAGTGGCCCAAGGGTGGTCCTCCACCTCTGCCTTTGCTCCATTTCCCTCTTCTGTGGATGGCTCACAGGGTGGGTGGGGTGCTGCCCTTGGAAGGCTGGGCAAGGGGACAGGCAGCCTCCTCAGCCTCCCTTCCTGCTTCTTTCCATTGCTGACTGTTAGCAGGCTCCGAGTGATGGCCTCACGTCGAGCGGTACGGTACATGAACTTCTGCTCAGCTGCTTTCTCTGTGTGCCCCCGTGGGTGGGTCCCCACATCAGTTATTCAGTTTCGTCATTCATCCAGCAAATGTTTATGCTTGAGTGACAGGCCCTGTCTCAGGTCATGGGGATAAGTCATGACTAAGATTCCCCCGATCCCTGCCGTTACAGCAGTCATAATTCACCGTTCAGTGTGGGGGAAGAGCAGGTCTGTGGGGCCCCAGAGGAGAGCCAAGGTCAGGCAGGGGCAGGGAGGGCATCAGGGAGATGGACTGTCCAGGCTGAGAACTGGGGCTGCATGGGAGGTGGCAATAGGGAGAGGAAGAGCGTTCCAGGTAAAAGGAGCTGCATATTCCTGGAGATAGAGCAGTGCTGATGTTCAGGCCTGAGAGGGACCCCTTGGGGGCTAGAGTTCAGTACTTGGAATGGCCAGAGCCTAGGGCTGGGTTGGCACTGGCCAGAAACCCACGTGTGTTTGTGTGTGTGCGTATTTGCCTCCATCTCTACCCAGAGACTCCCAGGCTCTTCAGAGTGAGCCCTGTGGGTGCCATGCCTGTTACACACTCTGGTCAGGGGGAGCACACTGCTTCCTTGGTGGCTTAGGAAAATGCTTGGTGGGAGTTGGCCTAGAGTTTCCAGAGTCTAAAGTTTGCAGAAACTCTGGGCCTGGCCCAAATCTCTCAGCTCAGCCGTTTCCCTAGCTCCAGATTCTCAGCTTTCCTTGAAATGTACCTAGGCAACTCTGAGGGGCTTCCCTGTGTTTGTCTCAGACATACTTGTGAGACTCTGACCTCAGCTCAAACCATCTGGCTGTAAGCCATGGCTCCTGGTCTGTGGTAGAACCAATAGGCTGAGCTGGGCTCCCCTGTCCCCCAGAGACCAAGGAATAACCCCAAAGTGTAGGATTCTTAAAGCAGTTTTAGGATTCACAGACCCCGGCATTAAGTCCTGGATCAGCCTGTCCAGAAGCTGGCTGCCCAGCCTCTTCAGGACTCAGTGTCTAGGTGGGGAGCACGGGGACATTCCTGTGTCTCTAAGGAGTTCAACTCTGCATGCTGCAAACCCACCCATGGGACAATTTAGGCAGAGACCAGCAGGCTGCTAAGTGAAGAAAGACCTCCAGGGAATTGGAGCTAGTGGACTGAGATTTGTCCTCCAGAGGGGCCCTTTGGGGCTGTGATAATTAAAGAAGCAGAGGAGGAACAAAGGTGAGAAATTAGGACCTCATTCATGGTTCCTGGATGTCATCCTCGCATCATTCCACCCATTTTGCTATGGGTGAGACTGAGGCCGGTCCAAGGTCATACTCTGCAAGTGTGTTGTTCCCCAACTAAGTGACCCAGGTTCTCAAGCCTCAGTTTTTCCCTCTGTGCAATGGGGAGGAGACTCCCACATCTGATCTAGCATGAGCCTGGTGGGGCTCCTCCACCCCACCTCTGTCTTCCCCGAAACTGGTAGGCAGTATGTGCCCAGCTGGGAGCCCATTAGCTGGAGCTGCTGCCACCTCATGTGGCTGTCATTAGCGAGTGCTGGCCACTGTTAAGGAGCTGAGTCTTGGGAGGAAGCTTAGGAGGTGGGGATGAAGGAGAGAGAGATGGAAGGGGTGGGAATGAGAGGAGAAGCCCTGGCCTGGCAAGCCTGGCATCCTCCCTGTACCTACCACACGGGGGCGTCGTGAGCTCATCAGGAGAGGCTCTGGGAGCCTGGCATGCTCAGACTCCAGGGGACAGTCACCGCAAAGGGCCAGGTACTCCTTTGCAGCCTGGTTTGGCCTGCCCAGAGACCCCAGAATACAGCACCACTAGTGAACCCTTGGGCCATCCTGTGACTGTTTCTCACCAGATCTGCAGATTTGGGGTTGGTTGGATCCCAGGGTTCTGACTAGGGGGGCTGTTTGGGACAGGGTTGAGGTTCCAGACTGCTCTGCTCCCCCCACAGAGATCCGCGAGGCCTTCAAGGTGTTTGACCGTGATGGCAATGGCTTCATCTCCAAGCAGGAGCTGGGTACGGCCATGCGCTCCCTGGGCTACATGCCCAACGAGGTGGAGCTGGAGGTTATCATCCAACGGCTGGACATGGATGGTGAGCACTGGCCCTTTCACCTGGGCCCCAGGGATGGGGGAGGGTCTGGGGCCTGAGTCACTGAGGCTTAGTCTACCCTGGGCCTCTTGTTTCCCCTACTCCAAGCCACCCCAAAGTCTGTTGCAGGTTGTAGCCAGATCTGGCCCCATTTCTCACCCTGGAGAATCGAGGCCAGATAGCCCTAGCCACATGCAGGGCTCAAAGACTGCTCTTCTCATCTCACTCTGTAGACTGAGAAATGTGGAAAATTGAGAGTTTATATCCCCAGCTTCCACCATCCCAAACAAAATCATTGAGTTGTTTTTACCACTTGACATTTTATTAAGGAAAAATTCATGAGAAAGACCAATAATGCCAAGTCCCCTCTGCTTCATCCCACCAGAGACCTCAAGAGAGCAGGTCACCCCCTCCTGAGCCTCATTTCCTACCTGTATGGTGGAGGCGATGTCTGGCCCTATACCCGCCCTGGTCAGCAACAGGGTGCTGGGGAGCCCTGGATGGTTTTGTATAAACTGAGTGAACTCTGGGGCCACCTGCTGCTCTCCACCTCCACCCTCCCCCGTGGGGCCTCATCACACTTGGTGGTCTCCATATTAGCCCAGAGTGTGGCATGTTAGGTGCTCCTGAAATTGACTCAAGACTTAAAAAGGGCACTTGCCTGATATGCCAGGACTCCATCCCAAGTCCCAAAGGAGGGCAGCAACTGCCCTGCCCGCCCCAGGTAGGTTTCAGGCCTGACAATCTGATTGGACCTGTGCCCACTCTAGGTGATGGCCAGGTAGATTTTGAGGAGTTTGTGACCCTCCTGGGACCCAAGCTTTCCACCTCGGGGATCCCAGAGAAGTTCCATGGCACTGACTTTGACACTGTCTTCTGGAAGGTATGTCCTGGTTGGTTGGGACTCAGGGCTTTGGAGAGACTTAGGGCTTTGTAAAGGGGAGATGACCACTCCAGGCTTCTGTCCGCTGCATGTCTTCTCTACTGGGGGGCCATGGACTCACTGGGAGAGGCAGGTGTCGGTCAAGGATGCCGTAGGAATGAAGCAAGAGTTTCCAGTCCTTCAGAATCTGGAGGACCGTCCTTGGGCTTTTGTGGCTGCAGGGTGTTGGGTGGGGTGGTGGCCAGAGCACTGTTCCTCCTCCTGCCCCAAGTGCGACATGCAGAAGCTGACGGTGGATGAGCTGAAGCGGCTGCTCTACGACACCTTCTGTGAGCACCTGTCCATGAAGGACATAGAGAACATCATCATGACAGAGGAGGAGAGTCACCTGGGCACAGCCGAGGAGTGCCCTGTGGATGTGGAAAGTGAGTGACAGGCCCCTGGGACAGCTCAGCCACTTGAGCAGAAGGACATACCAGGGGTTTGCAGAGTGGGGCTGGCGGGGTGGGGGGTGGTTTCCTGTGTGTCCCAAGCTTTGTGTCCCTGTGTTCCCATGGGTTGAGACTGCGTGCCAAAGTGTAGGCAGCTTCTGATTCTACTGCTTTGTGTCTCCTTCTCTCTGCTCCCTGGTGCTCCCCGTGGGTGGCCGCAGCCTGCTCCAACCAGCAGATCCGCCAGACATGTGTCCGCAAGAGTCTGATCTGCGCCTTCGCCATTGCCTTCATCATCAGCGTCATGCTCATTGCAGCCAACCAGGTGCTGCGCAGCGGCATGAAATAAGTGCCACCTGGGCACCTGGTCTGGCACGTGCAGTGCTGGGCCCACTTCCACCCACCACCACCTGCAGCCCTTCTCCCTCAGCTGGCTCTGGACCAATATCCTGTGTATTTCGGGGCCTGGACGTCTGGTGACCCCCACCCCTCTCACCCCATGGCCCTTGCATGGAGCTGTGGCTAGGCTGCGGAGAACCTGGTGGTGGCCCCGAGGACGGCCCCCGGCCCCTACACCATGCCTGTACCCCTACCTAGCCTGTATGTAGCGCTAACTCTTCCTGCTGTCCAGGGGCTCCTGGGAAATGAGGGCCTTGTACAGGAACCCCAGGACCCAGCCACTGCTGTGGTCCCTGTGCCCAGAGAGGGCACCTGCCTACCGAAGCTCTAATCCCTGAGGTTTTCCAGAGCTGTGGAAAGGGTGGAGGAGGAGGGGGCAGAAAGCTCCTCTAGAGAAGGAAACAAGGCTAGGTCTCTTGAGTCCTTTCCTCTGACTCAAACTAGCCCTCCTCCCCCATGTACCTGCTAGGGCCTGAGCCTGCCCATTTCACAGGTGAGGAGCCTGAGGCTCAGAGGGACAGATTTGGCCTCAGGTTTTCCTCAGGGATTTTTAGGAAGGGCAAAGCTCATGGTAGGATGGGGCATCTGAGATGGCCCTGAGGTCCCTGAATTTCTGCCCCCAACCCATCCTAGCAAAGGCCCAGTGACCAAGGGTATCCTGGTCCCCAGCACAGAAGTCAGAGCTGTAGTTCAGCTTAGGAAGGGAACAGAGCTGGGGCCAGGAGGCCTTAACTGGCCTGAGCAGCCTGTGTGATCTCCCCATTGGCCTGGGTACGCCTCCTGGCAGACCTTGGGAGGGCCCCTGGGCCAGCCCTTGGGTGGAGGAGCTGGCATAGTTCAACTCTGTCAGTGCCAGGAGGTGTGACCAAGCTATTCTCCCAAACCCAGGGCCCGCCTTCTGCCCCCTCCTCCTTCCATTCTTCTGCACCCTCAAGGCAGAGACCCAGCTCCTGTCCCTGCCCCAAATATGCCATCCCAAACCTGTGGCACTAGCTCAGCATGGGAAGATGCAGGGACTGCAAATTCTGCTAGGGCTGGGATGGCAGATGGAGTCCTTGTGCTCCTCTCCCCAGCCTTGGGGCCACTTATCACCTGGGCGACGAGGGAGCCACACTGGCACACCCTTTGCCTGGCTGAACTGAGCCTCTGCTGGTCTCTGTTGAGAAGGGCAGAGAGGACAGATCACCCTGGACCTTGTCTCATCCCAGCCCTGCCTGTCCCCTGGAAAGGGTTGGAAGGAGGAGCTGAGAACACGGGTTTAGGGAAGCACAGCCAAACCAAGGGAGGCTTTCTTTATATACACCTGCAAGTTTTCTCCGTCTTCTCAAGACATCCCAGGAGGACGGGTGGGTGAAGCAGAGGATGAAGCTGCCCAGCACAGACTGGGACCAGGTCTGCAGCTGGTATGGGGGACTTTTGAGGCTTGGGGAGACCAGGCCTACAGTCTCAGAGGCTCTGGGGACATAACAGGCAGAGGGCATGGCCTCCCCAGTAGGAGCAATTGTCTTTATTGTGACAGATAAGCGCTGACCAGGTAGGAGATGAGCAGGGGCAAGGGGCTCAACCCCACTGCACTCTTGGCTGCAGGGGCCACCCCCCGGGTGGGGGTGCCCTCAGGGATGGAGGCAGCTCCTGGACCGGCGGCCAGCCTATGGGGTACTGGAAGACAGTGGCTCTGATGGGTTCAGCCCTGGAGAGAAGGAGAAAGAGAATTAGAGCAGGTGCAACTGAGGCCTGGGTTGGAGCACAGCCCAGATCCAGCTTTCCCTCCCACCACCCTGGCTAGGGAGGGTCAGCTGCCTGCATGGCCCTTCTGGAAACAGAGACTTGAAAACACACAGACCCTTAGAGGCAGCAACCTCCTCTCCAGGAACTGAGCCCAAGGAAACAGTGAGGTTGTAGGCAGATATTGAGCTACAAGAATGGCTTTGAGAAAAACAAAAATAACCTTAGTGTCCACCTGTGGGGGACTGATTAAATACATATACACGTCCAGTGGAGAATGATGCTATGCAGCCTGTGTAAAAATTAGGCAGACATATATGCACTGATGAGGAGAGACATACTATGTGAGTAGGGAAAAAAGCAGCTTATAAAATAATGTATATAGCATGATACTATTTTTGTTTAAAGATATATAACATATATAAATGCATAAAAAAAACCTGGAAGACACGGCAAAATGTTTCTATCAAATGGTTCTATCTGAGTGGTGCAATTATGGGTGGTTTTTTTTACTTCTTTATACTTTCCAAAAGTTTTGCAAGCACGCAAGCCTTTGAAATCCGAAAAAAATATTGTCTAAAATGTTTTAAAAAGCCTCATTTCTCATGCTACTCACTGTCCTTAATATTCACCTCTCCCAAACCACCACCCCAGGGCCCATGGGAAGTGCCATCGATGGAAAGGCATCTTCTGTGCCCAATCTGTGGTACCCTGACCTACAGGAGCTGACTGAGATGGATGGAGGCAGCCTCCCCCCACCCTTTCAACTATGCCACATTCAGACCCGTCCATACTGGACATCCCTCAGGCTACAAAGCACTTTGAATTCACCTGGGAGCTCCTGTATTGTCTCCTCGGGCTTGCAGTGCTCAGAGGGTAAAGACTGGGGTAGGAATGGCATTTTTTTACCCCAGTGCCCAGAGCCAGGCCTGACATGCAGAGGCGACACAGTAACTGTGTGCTGAATGACACAGTTATTCAGCTATACCAAGAGCTCTTACAGACTAGGCACTATTGTGGACCAGAGACCAGGGCCTAGAAAGACCTCAAGATCTCACATGAACCCTTTTTTTCAGATGAGACAACTGAGAGGTGCAAGGAGTCCTCACTTGTCCAGGTGACGCAGGGGATGGAGGACGAAGGGCTAGAATGCAATTCAGACATTTCTCCCTGCCTCTTCAGTTGCCTTTGTTCTAGCCACACCCCACCCCACCCCATGCCCTAGCCTTCATGAAAGGTGAGCGCTGGAAGCTTCTAACAGGCTTGGGGGCCCAGTGGCCAGCCCTCTGCAGAAAGAGAAGGGCCTGGGTTTTCTGTGAGAGGTCAGGACAGGTCTCAGGCCTCCGAGGTGGAGGCAGGGGTGGGGGGCTGTGCTCAGCAGCCCTGAGAGTTTGCCTCTCCCCACCCACTCAGCTTACCCTTCTCTGGGCCTGATAGTACAGGGTCAAGGACTTCTGGGAGCTCTAACTGCAGCCTCTAGGATTCCCATTGTGAGAGGAACAGGGACATCCCCTACTCAATGGGCTTCTGTCTGCTGGAAAGCACAGAAAGCAGCTCTTGACATGATTTATGGTGCTGGGGAAATTTCATAAACAGAAGGTTGAGGGTAGAGGAGGCCACAACTGCGGGAGCTGGGGCTCTCTATGGAGTCACAGTGACAGTAGAGCTCCCCAAGGGGTGTGATCCTGGGAAGCCCCAGCCTCTAAGCCTCGGGCCCTTCCTCTAGCAAATGGGGCACATTTCCAGGCAGCTGGGACCCAGCTACTGGATTCAAGGCTCAGTCCAGTGTCCCTGCCTGCCCTGAGGCACCCAACAGAGAAAGGGCAACCCCTGAGTCTGCTCACAGATACTGGAGCCTTGCTAGGGTCCCAGATATGCCAGGCCCTGGGCCTTACAGCCCATACCTGCAGCCCTGGCACAGAGTAGACAGATGCAGGTACATGGGGTAGGACTCTACTTGAGGCTTCCAGCATGGCCTGTTTGCCCTGTGTGTAAGGACAGAAGCAGCTCCCTGGCAAATCCCCAGCTGTGGTCCTTACCAAAAGGAAATAGAGTCTTATGGAGGTGGATGGGCCAGAACAGTAGCTGTGGTCCAGAGAGGGGTATGTAGGGGAGATTAAGAGGGATAAAGTCACAATCAGAAGAGCCAACAATGGGAAGCAGGGCCGAGCATTGAACTGGCTGGGGATTAGTCTGTGTGTCTAAGGCCAGCTGCTCCCTCCCTCTGCCACTGTCTGCTCTTGGCAGATCCCTCAGGGTCAGTCTGTTGAGGGAATGAGCAAAAATGCCACCAGGCTGCACCTTCAAGAGCCTCCGTGTCCCCATGTTGACAAGGAAAGTTGGCTCAGCCCACTGTGTGTTGTGGGGTTCTGCTCAGTCTGTAGGTGTATGTGTTCCCAGGTGGGTCAGGCAGCCACCTGTTCCCCAGGAAGGAAACAGACACCCAAAGAGGAAAAGGGGGCTACCTAAAGTCCTCAGACTGGTCCCCACACATTAATACCCAGGTAACAGGCATCTAGGCTGGCCACACTGCTCCCCTAAATGCACACACATGTAGTCACCATGCCCTGGGGACACCCACACTTGCTCAAGATTGTGAAGGGGAGCTGGGGCTAGAAGGGGCCATGTCTTAGAGTGCTAAAGCTCACAGGCTCGTGGGGTTGGCAGAGGCAGTTTTATGCAGAGGAAACCGCATGCATGGGGTTCCCAGAAATCACAAATGACTGTCCATCTAAGAGGCTGCTAAAGAGTCCACTGTGACTGACAGGCGAGGTATGACAGGTGATCAGGTGACCCCATGAGTCTGGTAGCCAGCAGGGAGATTCCCTTAGGCCCTGTGAACTAGGTTGTAGAATCCAGGCCCTCCCAAAGTGGAGGTGGACTTGGGAGGGGTTAAGCAGGGGAGGCCCAGGGCCAGAGTGTGTTTTGGAAGCTGGCTGGGGCTGTAATATGGAGAATGAACTGGAAGAGCTCAGGGGAGGGGAGAGACCTAGGAGAGGGCTGTTATGGCCAGCTAGGAGAGCCACAATAGGACAACCCAGAGGCTGGAATCTAATTCCCTACAACCCCACAGGAGGGGTTCATGGACACAGAAGCACAGCCCTGATGAGCAGAGGTGTCATGTTTCCCAAAACTACCCTGCAGGGAGAGGACTATGGGAGACCAAGGTAGCAATGGCAACAGCAAGAATAAAAGGTCACCTCCTTTCCAACAACTCTTTTTTCTTAAGGCTGTACAGGTCTGTTCTGCCCAAAGAATGATTCATATTGGCTTGAAGCCTTCAGGAGGCAGGTGAACAGGTGGGGAAGGGGCAGAGAATGTTTGTGGAGAAAGCAGATCTCTTGGAAGTGCCCAGGTTGATTGGCCAGAGGAAAAGTGACCTGGAAGAGCAGTTTAGACCCTGCTCCCCAGAGCCCAAGGTGGGTCCCAGTTGTAGGCACCATTCCAAAAACTGCTACTGCCATATTAGCAGCTCCAATCCAGCTGGAGACCACAGGGTCTTCCTGGATCCTCCTCACAGCCCTAAGAGACACCACAGGGCAAAAGCAGGGCCATAAGTGGCCAGGACAACATGAGGTTGGGAGGAACTCATTCATATGGGACCAGTTCCAAGGAGTGGTGCAGAGCAGAGACTGAACTGAACTGATCTCAGGAAAATGGGGATCCCCAGAACTCCCTAGTCAGACCAACCCTCCACCACATGAGCAGAAGTAACTTGGCATTCAGGATCTGGATCCCTGGAAGATGGCTGGTAACTACAGGGGGCACCCAGATGACCGAAGTCACAATCCCTTCAGACAGATCCAAAAGGCAGGGATGGCATACTCCAACATTTGAGTTTTGTCCAACTACATAGTTTTAAGGTAGGGGTATACTGGGCACATATTTAGAATAAAGGTAAAATACAAAATTAACTTTAAAAGACCTTAATCATCTCTTTCCACTGGACCAAGAAATTTGCCTTCACCTTCTGGCACAGCCCCGAGGGAAGTCCATGGACTTCTCTGACCAGACCCTCTTGGCTCAAGTCAGGTTGTCATCCCATGAGACCATACCACAGAGCAACTAGGGCCTGAAGTGCTACTGCAAGATGAGGAATCAAGGTGGCCCAGGGTAGGGCAACTTGCACACAGTCATGTGCAGCTCACAAGCACACCCCTTGATCCCCTTTTGTACCCTCTCTTCCTCCCATTTCCTCCCCCTCTCCATTACTGGCAGCGGGGAGCTCAGGAGCCCTGGACTTTGGCTGTGATGCTAGGTGGCTGCGGAAGCTCCTGCCTATCTCTGTGCTTCTCTGTGTTAATGTATAGTGTGGGCTGTGTCTGAGAGGGGAGGGTCTGAGATGGCATGCAGCCCACATTTGAGGGCCCCTGGCCCAGCATGCTCCCTGTATGAGAAGTTCCTGTCCATTTTTGAGCATTCTGAGTGCTCAGGCCACTCCCCCTTAGGGAGGCGTGGGAGAATGATGTTGTCAGCCCCTGTACAGTCCCTGCTCTGCCTATTCCTAGCTGTGTGCCCTTGAGCAAATTGAATGTCTCCATGAGCCTCAGTTTCCCATCTGTGGGGCCTTGGGACAGGCAGTAGATGATGGACCACTGGGAGCTTGGCCACCACAGCTCAGTTCCATCTCTCTAGCAATGGACTTAGTGCTGTAGAGTCAACCTGGCCAACACTTCCCCTCCCACCAGCACACACTGCCAGAGGGGGATGAGACATAAAAGGTGGGGACCAAGGACAGGTACCTTTAAATGTATACCCCCTCTGGCCAGTGCCTGGGGACCCAAGAGCCTCCACTGTAGCCCTACTCATAGGGATCTCTGGAGGAGGGAAGGGGAAGAGTCTAACCATGGCCCTTGAATTTAGGAAGTTCATGGAGATTCCTCAACTTTAGCAAAAGACCAAAGGACAGGCTGGCTGGGGTCTTGCCCCCAGCAGCACAGAAACACCTGGGAGTCTATACCTGCTGCTCGGGGTTGAGCTCAGTCGCTTGGCTCTCTTCTCCAGCCAGTCCTCCAGGTGGCCCTCAGGGAGCTCGGGGGTGTCCAGAGGCCACTCCCTGGCCCGCCTCTCCTCTGTGGGAAATAGGGAGACAAAAGGAAGATGAGGGGCACAATTCTGCCTGCCTGAACCCCACCCTCCCGCAAAGTAACAGCAACTGGCCAGCTCGGGGGAAGTCCTGGGATGCTGCAGCAATCTTCCAGAGAAATGCAGGGTGGTAGGCCAGGAGCACTGCTGCCGGCTTGTCCCTTTACTGCCCCTACTGCTTGAGCCTATCTGCATCCCATGACCCGGTGCTACAGGCCTGGCTCTGCTCCCCATTGAAGGGAGATAGTGATGGCTGCCTCCCAAGCTTTGGGGAGCTGGAAACAGGACAATGAGTGTAAAGAGCCTAGCCCTCAGGAGGGGTTCAAATCTCAGGTGCAAGGGGTCAAAATTGGCAGTAGAACAAGGTTGAGTCTTGGTTCTGCCACATGCCAGGTCTCCAGACAAGGCATGAGCCTCAGTTTTCTGGTTTTTCTTCTCATATAATGTTGTATAAAAAAACACTGCCATTGAACTAAAGCCAGGAAACAAATGGTCTGAGTTCATACAACCTGGGTGTGAGAGGATGATGGGGTCTATCTCCAAGTGGTCTGGGATGGGCCATGGGCCAGAGGAAAACAAACTCATGGTATGACAACACTTGGGGGCTGGCCCTGGGCTCACTGCACAAGGCATCATTGCCTGGGGCATCATCATGTTTTACAGGTCAGGACATGTCTCCAAGAGGTCAAGCCATGTGCCAAGGTTACAGAGGATGTGGAAGAGCCAAGACCATCCACAATGCCAGCCTCCTTGGGCCTCACCCTATCTCCATCTCTACTAGATATGATCTCAGCCTGAGCTCCCCACCACAAGTTAACCATTCCCTGAGAGCCTGTGGCGCACGGGGAGCTGGAGACATCCGCACTGCCAGGACTTGCTGGCTGGTGCCATGAGGCCTCACTTCCACCCAGAGAGAGCTCCTGGAAACCCGGTGTCAGTGCCAGAGCTGTTGTATTGGCTCCCCAGGGGAGGGCATAGAGCCCGTAGGGTCCAACTAGGCAGAGGGAAGTGAAGCCTAACAAGGGATGAGGACAAAGATCAAAGTGCCCCAGGCATTCAAGAGCTCCCTGAGGCAGCCGGACAGAGAAGAATGGATAGCAGCCTCCTGGGAGACCCAGAGTCAGTCTCTAACTCACTGTGGGGCTCTCTCAAGGTCCTATGGTCTGAGGTCTGAGTACTGGCCTTGGTTTCTTCATCTGTTCAATGAAGGGGCCATAGGAGATCAGTTAAGATGTCTAAGAGGGCCAGGTGCAATGGCACACACCTGTAATCCCAGCAGCTTGGGAGGCTGAGGCAGGAGGATTGCAAGTTCAAAGCCAGCCTTAACAACAATAAGGCACCAAGCAACTCAGTGAGACCTTGTCTCTAAATAAAATATAAAATAGGGCTGGGGATGTGGCTCAGCAATTGACTGCCCCTGAGTTCAATCCCTGGTACCCCCTATCCTGCCAAAAAATACCTCTTACTCCCCCTCCCCAAACAAAGCCCTCTAAGAGGGAACTTCCTTGTTCTGTAATTGGAAAGCCAGCATCGAGCTGCCCAATGGCTCACAGGCCTGTTTCTACAGAAGCTGAAATTGCTCTGCCCCTCCAGAAGACACTAGGCTATGAGCATCCTGAGGGAGGAAAAAGTGCTTTCTTCATTCCCCTTTCCCAAGAGCGCTAAAGGGGATCTGCCAAGTGTTGAATAGGGATTCCTATGGTGCCTGATGGAGGGGGAGAGGGAGGGACCCACCACACCTGCCGGGTTAGCGTGTGGGCAGTGGGGCACTTTCAGAGCTCCCAGGCGGGAGCCATAAATTTTTCACTTTCAGGAGACACAGCTGTGTCTCTGACGCCCACCTCACATTGTGGAATTGGGGACTCCCTATCACCCTGAGCAGACCTTGGTCTGCCCCACATGATGGCTTCTACTGAGGGACAGGAGGGGAGGTGCAGAGCAGTTTCCCCAGTCACAGATCCCACATCTCTTGCCCGCACTCCATTCCTGCCCTGCATAGGGCCCCTGCCGAGACGCACCCTCCACCTGGATGCTCAGTTCTTGCAGGTCTCGCTCTGACATGTGGGAAAATCTGCAGTTGGAGCCAAAGTCACACTGGCCTGCAACAAGAAGATAGAGTTACTTGCCATTCAAGAAGGGCGCCTATTATAGGCTGAGGGCACCCTGATGACGGGTTCTGACCTTTTAGAAACAAGGTTTTAGGGTCTCTGGTCCCACTCTCACTCAGCAGTCCTGGTGGACCAAACCTGATCAAAGTGAGTCAGGACTGGGCTGCACGGATCTCTGCAGGCTGTCTCTCATCTCCAACCCTTCCTCCCCACCTCCATGAATTACATGTGGGTTCCTGAAAGAACATGCTTTCTCCTCCATGCCAGGCTGTTGCACATGCTGTGCCCCTACCTGAAGCCCCACCTGCCCACCTGGCTTGCATGAGCAGCTGGACTGCTCCTCCAAAAGACCTCAGCAGGGGCTGGAATTGTGGCTCAGTGGTAGAGTGCTTGCCCAGCATGTGTGAAGCACTGAGTTTGATCCCCAGGGACCACATAAAAATAAAAAACAAATAAAATAAGGGTATTGTGTCCATCTACAACAACAACAAAAAAATCTATTAAAAGAAAGACCTCAGGGGCTGGGGATGTGGCTCAAGCTCGCCTGGGATGCGTGCAGCCCGGGTTTGATCCTCAGCACCACATACAAACAAAGATGTTGTGTCCACCGAAAACTAAAAAATATAAAATAAAAATTCTCTCTCTCTCTAAAAAAAAAAAGACCTCAGCAGCACCTTTGCTATGGAGGAACCAAAGTTTGGGTGGTTTTTCCAGGCTCAAACAAGAAAACTAAAGTGTCTGGAAATAACAGGAGCATCGTGGTAACCTACATCAGTGTAACCTCCCAGTGTCAAATGTACCTCAAAGCCAAGTCTATGGGAGAGCTCCTGATCTGCAGGCCTGGTGACTATTTGGGGGGCAACACCATTTCCTGAGAAGAACACGGCCTTTCATCTAGCTTCCCTAGCTCACCCACAGTACTTCTCCCCAGGGCTAAGTTCCCTTACAAACCACTGTGGTTTTCCTCTTTGCCTTGGCTTCCAGGAAGCTCAGGGACAAACTTTCTAGTACACAGACCTCAAGAGCAAACATGGAGACTAATTATTCTCCTGGCTTGTCTTATTTTTCCTACCCTTACTTTCATCTGTCTTTGCTGCCTTTGCTTACTAAGGTCTATATCTCTTTGAAGTATAGTTGTCTTTGTGAGATGAGTACTGAGCAGTCAAATCAATACTTCTGAAAAGCTGAGGACTAGACCAGGGAAAGACCCAAATTCCAAACGATGGGGAGGCCCTGACTGACTGGTCAGCTGAAGCCGGGCTGCAAAGTGGACTCAGGATGTGTCCAGAGTTGGAGAAGATACTCTACAGAGATCCACACAAGCCAGACAAGGTATTCTTGGTCCCTGAGGGGACCCAAACCAGCAGAGCACTTTACCTGTCAGCAGGAACTTCCTGCAGGGCCGCTTGTTCTGCTCATCCAGCAAGATGGCAGCTGCATCTATAAGAGAAGAAAGGGACTGGGTTCAGATGGCTCCGCCAAGGAGGGAGGTAGAGTCTCAGGGAACTGAGGGAAGAAAAGAGCTCCCCACACACGGAGGAGCATTGCTTTGGTTGACCATAGAGGGGGATGCTTGGCAGTGGGATCCAAGGTGACCTCCATCCCTCACCTCACCTCGGGCCAGCCAAAGTCAAGAAATAGGTTTTAGGTCAAAGGTATTTGACTGCACAATGGACTCACATAGGGAATTTTCTTTTTCCTCAACCAAACAGAGGGGAAGGGGAAAAAAAGCTCTTTTATTTCCATATAAAATCATTTTTGAAGGGGCTGGGGTTGTGGCTCACTGGTACAGCACTTGCAGCGCATGCGTGAGGCACTGGGTTCGATCCTCAGCACCACATAAAAACAAATAAATAAAATAAAGATATTGTGTTCATCTACAACTAAAAAAAAAATTTTAAAAATCATTTTTCAAGTTTCAGAACATCTTAGGGCTGGGAATGTAGATCAGCAGCAAAATGTTTGCTTAGCATATGTGTGGCCATGAGTTTGATTCCCAGCACCACAAAAAACAGCAATAACTGGCTTTCTCAGAACAACTTCTAGAAATTTTAGGGAACTTTAATCAAAACATAGGTTAACCAAGTGAGAACTGACATGTGGACATTATTTCGTCTCCCCATTCAAGAGTGTCACACGTCTCATGTATTATCTCCATCTTTTCTTTGTTCCCTAATAAAATTTAGAAGTTTTTAAATAATTTTATTGCTCTTCTCTGTAAAAACTTGACCTGGCAGATGAATTCATCATTTTAGGGACTGTCAGTTAACAGGACATATTTTTATGGCCTCCTGGTTGCAAATAGCCTGACAAATTATTATTTGGCTTAGCAGCCATGTTCTCAGCTGCTATACTGAATGCTCTCCAAAGGTCTTGTTCCTCAGCTTGGTATTGAAAGGTGGTAAGAGGGTGCTCAGAAATGGCAACAATTCTTATTTTCTCCTCATGAATCCACTTTACAGTACTAATGTCCCCATTCTGCAGAGGGGTAATATTGAGGTTCAGACAGGAAAATGACCTTCCCAAGGGTTCATGATCAGAAAGCGGCAGCACCAGGTTTGAACCCTGGTATGTGGAAATCTAGAGCCTTTGTTCTTTCCATGTGGCTGCTGATTTCCTGATGCCTGGATAATTATCCCCAGTAATGGGGATGCCTCCCTTCAGGGCAGCTGGTGGCTGGGAAGGGAGAGGATCTGCTAGGGGATGGGAGTTGGTTACAGCAGGATTCACTCCAGGGAGCCTGGCAGAGCCATGAGTGAAGCCAGCAATGTGGAGGAGGGTCCATCCATTAGCACCAGGCTTGTCAGGCTCAGTTCAACCACTAGAGCTAGAGACACCATGGCCTGACCTGCCTGTCGTTCCTGGGGAAGCTGAGCTGGTGCGATTATGTGGATGTTGCCTAGGACCTCCCTGAGGCTAGTACCACTGAGGGAGGCAGGAGGGCTGAGCCTAAGTCCCAGACAAGAGGCACTGGCTAGGTGGCTCAGTGTAGAAGAGTTCTATTCTGTGGTGCTGCTGGCCAGTGGTTCTCAACTCTGACATGCTTTAGGATCACCACGCAACTATTAAAGTACATGGACACCTGCACCTGCCCTTCTCAGGTTCTGCTTTAATTCATCAGCATGGGGGAGCATCACAATTGTTAAAAGCTCCTGGGGTCAGGCAGGGTGGTGCACACCTATAATTCTAGTGGCTCAGGAGGCGGAGGCAGAAGGATCACAAGTTCAAAGCCAGCTTCAGCAACTTAGTGAAGCCCTAAGCAACTCAGTGAAACCCTGTCTCTAAATAAATTACAAAATAGGGCTGGGGATGTGGCTCAATGGCCAAGTGACCCTGGGTTGAATCCCCAGTACCCTCCCCTGAAAAAAAAGTTCCTGGGTACCTCTAAAGTGCACCTAGGATTAAGAAAACCCTGCCTACCCTCTGCACAAAGAGGCCCCTGTTCCTCCACATGGTGTTCAAGGCTCCTTGTGATCTGACCTGTTGGTCCTTCTCGCTTCATCTCCCAAAATTAACAGCTAACCCTGGTGCCCCATGTTTATTTACCTAGTCATTTAGGCATTCATCTATCAAATGTTCACAAAGCACATCCTGTGTGCCAGGCACTATGCCAGGACGAGGATTTAAGTGGAGATCAAGTCAGAGCGGGTCCTTCCTTCAGTCCAATAGCCACAGTAATCCATGTGGATATAAATGGGGTAAACATTGAAAACGAACAAATGACCTGACCTGGCCTAAGGCATGGGAAGGGCATCCCTGAGGATTTATTGCCCGAGTTTACTTCTGGGACAAAGAAACTATCTTGGGATGGGGAGGACTGAAGGAAGGACATGCCCACAGAAAGAACAGTACATGCAGTGATCAATGTGGCCAGAGCCAAGAGGGAGAGGCCAGCAGAACATGGAAACTCAGGCAGGACACACTATTGTAAGTGAGTGGGAGGTCACTTAGAAGGGCCTGTTTTATCCATCTTTGAATCTTCAGAGCCTGTCTGGGGACTAAGGACAGGCAAGTACTCATTGAGCACTGGCTGAATAAATGTGCCCATCAGATAAAAGGCCTGAGGCCACTCCTTCTAAGGACACAGAAGCATCATTCCTACTTAGCATAAACCCTAATGTGCAGAACAGTCATCATGGGATTACTGAGCCTGTGTCACATCCCTGGGAGGTGGGTACTGTTGTTATGGCTGTTTTACATGTGACAAAATTAGGGCTGCACTGTTAGTGATTCACGACTTGGGACTGAACCCAGGCAGCCTAGCTCCAGGGCCTGTGTTTGTCCTGACTGTGACCCATGGATCATCAGCCACTCTGAGGCCCTTGGAATTTGTCAAAGGCCATGAAGCTGGGAGCTGAGAACCAGTTGCTCAGGGTAAGTGCAGGCCTAGAGAAACCTTTTGAACAAGAAGACAGCTCATGTGCCAGCTTGGCCACCAGCACATGGGGACAATGAGTAAGGCAATCCACTGGTCTAAATTTTTAAAAATTTTGTTTTAGTTGTCAATGTACCTTTATTTATTTATATGCAGTGCTGAGAATCAAACCCAGTGTCTCACACATGTTAAGCAGGTGCTCCACCACTGAGCCAAAACCCCAGCCCCACTGGTCTGGATTTTAAATTCATCATCTGTAAGTGGGGAAACTCAGGCCGCCAGCCCCGCTAGCAGAGCTGATTTGTTTTGTTTTCTGGTCCTAGGGATCAAACCCAGAAGAGCTTTACCACTGAGCCACAGCCCTTTTTATTTTTTGTTTCGAGACAGGGTCTCACTAAGTTGCTGAGGGCCTCGCTAAGTTGCTGAGGCTGGCTTTGAACTCACAATCCTCCTGCCTCAGCCTCCTGAGCTGCTATGATTACAGGCATGTGCTACCATGCCCAGTTCCCTGCACAGCTGTTCTAAGGACTAGAAGTGGCTGGGCATGTGAGAGGTTGATGGGAATGCAAGAGCCCTAAGAAAGGGACTACAGCACCTGCCTTTTCATTTTTTCTGTAAGGAACACAAGGACTTCTACCCATTATTTCTGGACTCCAGAGCCCAGCTGTTATTGGCTGAGCTTCTGGGATAAGGAGCAAACGCCAAGGTGATCTTGGCCTAGCTAAGGCCAAAGCCCCTCACTGGGTTTGGAAGACAGGGAGCCTGATGTCAAGATCAGAGATTTCTCAGACAGCTAGGAGCCCCCACTGCCCTGAAATTCCCCATCTGTCTCCATTCCCAAACCCCCCCCCAATCACAGCTGTGCTGGCCCTGCTGAGCAGCCTTGTTGGCCACCTTCCTCCCAAAACCTAGAAGCCTCAGTTTCTTTGTCTGAAATAGGGAGCATCTGGGAGACGCTTTTTTTTTTATTTTTTTTTTTTTAATGGTGCTGGGGATTGAACCCAGGGCCTTGTGCATGTAAGGCAAGCACTCTGCCAACTGAGCTATATCACCAGCCCTAGGAGAGCTTTAAAAACACCAAGCCTAAGCCAGGTGTGGTGGCGCATACCTATAATCCCAAGGCTCGGGAGGCTGAGGCAGGAGGATGGAAAGTTCAAAGCCAGTCTCAGCAACTTAGTGAGGTCTTAAACAACTCAAACAGACCCTGTCTCCAAATAACATCTAAGTGCCGGGTGTGGTGGCACACACCTGTAATCCCAGTGGCTCAGGAGGCTGAGGCAGGAGGACCACGAGTTCAAAGCCAGCCTCAGCAAAAGTGAGGCGCTAAGCAAATCAGTGAGACCCTGTTTCTAAATAAAATACAATATAGGGCTGGAGATGTGGCTTAGTGGTTAAACACCCCTGAATTCAATCCCCAGTACCAAGAAATAAAAAATACTATGCCTAAGCCAGGTGTGGTAGCACATGCAGTAATCTCAGCAATTTGGGAGGCTGAGGCAGAAATTCAAGCCAGCCCGGGCAAATTGGTGAGACCCTGTCTCAAAATAAAAAAATTAAAAGGGGGACAGCTAGGTATGTAGCTCAGTGGAAAAGTACTTGGCTAACACATGCAAGGCCCTGGGTTTCATTTCCAGTACTCAAAAAAGAAAACAAAAAAACAAAAACAAAAACCATGCCTAGTCTTTATTCACCCAAACCCAGTAGGGTAGGGAGATCACTGTTACCATGACCAACTAGCCTTATTTATTTAAAGGTCTCTAAGTGCCTAAGAGAGTCACTGAGAAGTAAATGACAAACCATAGCAAGCACAGCATGTAGCAGGTACTCAATAAAGGCTCACTCCCTTCTAGTGAATTTTAAGTCTCAGAACAGAGAAGTCCTTCTGTCTCCCTTCCCCTTTCTCCTTGGCCACCTGAACTTAGTTTGTTCCTCCCAGGCTCTGAGCCCTGTCCTGGAAAACTGCTCCCTACCTGTCCAAGCACCTCTGCTGCATCACCAAGCTCCCTCTCCTTTCAGCTCAGCTCCTCCCTGGCCATACTCTGGCCCCTCCCTGACCATTCCTTGGTGTGCACATCTAGTGACATAACTAGCAGCATAACTCCCATCCACAGGCATCCTGGGGGCTAGGCCATGATGGATGCTTCTGACCTGAGCTCTTTCACTCCAGTCACACCTGCTTTGCAAGAGTCCCCACCCCCACCGCAGCAGTTGGGTTATTCATTCCTCCCTCCAGCCAATCATTCAACAGACTCTTCCTGCACCACACTGTTTACCCCACACAGAGTTCTTGCTGGCAAATGTAGGCCTGGCCACGTCACATCTGTTGAAAGCTCTTCAGAAGCTGCCTTCTGCCCTCAGGACAGTGCAACCTCCTTGCTGTGGCCTCCACAGACCTGAAGAATCTAGTCCCTGCCCATACCCAGCTTTGGCCCCTACCATTCTCCGCATCACTGGCTATATACCCTCTCCTCCCAGGGCATCCGATGCTTTGCTCATGGCTACCTGTTTCAGAGTCTTCTTTGCATATCCTTGGCCCCAAATGACATGGCTGGCCCTATTTCAGCTGCTGGCTCAAACATCACCTCCTTGGAGAAGCCTGTCTGTTATCTGTATCCCAAGGATGTTCCACTGTGGGTGAAGCACAGAACCCTCAGTCAAGGTCATCGGCAAAGGGACCTTCCATTTTGGATTGCCTCTCAGTCTCTGGGGCTCTCTCCTTTTTTTTGGTACTGTTTCTATTTTTTTTTTTTCCTTAGCATGTACTCTATCACTGAACTACATACACCCCAGCCCCTTCCTCTTCCTCTCTCTCTCTCTCTCTCTTTTTTGATACTGGGGATTGAACCTATTTTTTATTTAATTTAGAGACAGGATCTCATTGAGTTGCTTAGTGCCTACTTTTTGCTAAAGCTGGCTTTGAATCCATGATCCTCCTGCCTTGGTCTCCTGAGCCGCAGGGATTACAAGCATGTGCTACCAGGCCCAACACCTTCCTCTTTTGGATCCTCAAAGAGCCCAGACTGACCCACCATGGTGCTAACCTAATGGTTAGAGGGATCAGCATGCGGGCTCCAGCAGCCTGGCCACAGAGCCCGCATCACCCACCTCGGAACATGTCGTACCACACCTTCTTGGCCTTGAGGTGCTGTAGCCCATTCAGGTGCTTCTTTCGGTTGTGGAGATTGTCCTGGAAGGACCGGTCACAGTAATCGCAGAAGTATCGCTTCCCCATGGCCGCCTACACCAGGTGCTGAGGCTGCCTGGAAAGTCACAAAGCTCTTGGTCAGACCTTTGGAGAAAAGGCCAGAGGTCAGAGCTCTGGGGACAGGGCCCCTGACTGAGCACTCCCTGAGGGCGAGGCCTGAGCCAAGCTTTTCTTACGGTGCCTTGTACCATGAGGAACTTCTAGAGCTAACAGGTCTAGTTCTAGAGGGATCTTTTAATTCTGATGCCCAGCCTCCAACCTCAGCCAATTAAAACAGAAGCGGGTATAGCAGCACACACCTGTAATTCCAGCTACTCAGAGGCTGAGGCAGGAGGATTGCTACTTCAAGGCCAGCCTTGGCAACTTTGTGAGACTCTGTCTCAAAAAAGGCTGGAGAGGGGCTGGGGATGTGGCTCAAGTGGTAGCGCACTCGCATGGCATGCGTGCAGCCCGGGTTCGATCCTCAGCACCACATACCAACAAAGATGTTGTGTCCGCTGAGAACTAAAAAATAAATATTAAAAAAATTCTCTCTCTCTCTTAAAAAAAAGGCTGGAGATGCAGCTCAGTGGTACAGCACCAAGTTCAATCCCTAACCACAAAAACAATAACAACAAACAACTAGAACCTCAGAAGGTAAGCCCCAGACTTCAGTATTTTTTATTTATTTCATTTTATTTTTTGGTACTAGGGATTGAACTGAACCCAGGGATGCTTAATCACTGAGCCACATCACCAGCCCTTTTTATTATTTTTTTAAATTTTGAGACAGGATCTCACTAAATTGCTCAGGGCTTTGCTAAATTGCTGAGGCTGGTCTCAAACTGCTATCCTCCTGCCTCAGCCCCTTGAGTTACTGGGATTATAGGGCATGCACCACCATGTCTGGCTTTAGTATTTTTTTTAAGCTCCCAGGTAATTCTAATATATAGCTAAGCTGGAGGACCCCCACCTTATACCCTCTGGCCAGCCTCCCTCATCCCTAGCATACCTCTGACTTCTGATCTCCTTGTTCTGGTTTTCTCCATGCTGGCCCCATGGGTCTTCTCCCTGCCCCTCACACAAGCCAGGAACATGGCTGCCTCCAGGCACATGGGTTTGTATCTGCTGTCCCCTTGGCCTGGATGCTCTCCCTGTGATGTCTGCCTGCCATACTTGCTTCCTTGGTCCTTTTTTTTTTTTTTTTTTTTGCTGGCTAGCTTTGAACTTGCGATCCTCCTGCCTCAGCCTTCTGAACTGCTGGGTTTACTATGTGCAGCCAACAGAGGGGTCTTAAGACCTTACAATGTTCTCATTTCCCTTTGGGACTGAATGAGGACATGCCACCTAAGAATTTAGTAATCTTCTTGGGAAGCTATTAGCCTCTGCTACCTAAGCTCTCTGGCTTAAAGGACACCCAGGAACATGATTTTAGGGGACTTGCATTTGCATTCTTCTGATCAGCTATGTGACCTCAGACAAATCTCCCTTCCTCTCTTGAATCTCTGGTTGTCCCAAAGAAAAAATGAAAATTAACTCATTTATTCCACAAATACTTGATTGCCTACTCTGTATCAAGTACTATTTTAGGTGCTGGGGCCCCAGCAATAAATAAAGCAAAAATATATCTGCCTTCATGGATTTATATTCTTGTCGGGAGAGAAAGACAATAAACGATAACAAGTAATTTATTATTTCAAAGGCGATAAGTGCTATGAGGAAAAATCAAGCTGGGAATGGAGACAGCTAAGGGGAGAGTTCTGCAATTTTAAATAAAGTGATTACTGTAGATTGTCAAAAAGATAGCATTTGAGCAAAGATCAAAGGACTGAGGGAAGCCGGGTGCAACAGCACATGCCTGTAATCCCAGCAGTTTAGTAGGCTGAGGCAGCAGAATGACAAGTTCAAAGCCAGCAGTAGCAACTTAGCAAGGCCCTGAGAAACTCACTGAGACTCTGTCTCTAAATAAAACACAAAAAGGGCTGGGAATGTAGCTCAGTGATTAAGCACTGAGTTCAATCTCTAGTACCAAACCAAACCAAACATAAAAACCCTGTCATTGTGACCACAGCTGCCATTCCTTTCCAGGAGATCTGCAGCCCATGGTGGGTGGCAATTCTATGGCTTTCATGCCCAGTGCTTGGGTCCTCCAGCTTGATGTCACAAGACCAGAGGGAGGATGTGTCTACTTGAGGCTGTCAAGTGGGAAGTGCAAAGGCTGAGCCTAGAACAGTCCCTCAATCTGGGGTCTGGTCCCTCACTTAACAAAGCAGGCTTCTGAGGCCCAAAGGAGTATAGGAAATGATTTCCCTGAGGTCAGAAGGTGGCTACCCAGGCTGGCAGCCAAAATCCCAGATTCCCAGGACCTGGCAAATAAGGATGAAGCTGGGACCTGAGCCACAGAGCAGACGGATGAGTGGGGAGGTAGAGGGGACAGATGGGGGAATGCTTCTTGGGAAGAAAAGACTAGGGATAGATGCAGAGACAAACAAGCATTCTGGGCAGTCCAGACAACCAAGCAGGTTGATGGAAAAAGTTGCTCCTGCAGTAGACAGGGGCAGCAGCCATTAAGTCAGGGGCTGTAATGGGATCAGGAACAGCCAGTCATTCCAAATGAAAACGTATAAAATCTCTCTTCTCCCATTACTGCTGAGAAACCACATCTCAGACATGCGGACTTGATATATTAAATTTGGCAGCTCTAATACATTCCGTCTTGCCAATAAACTTATAGGAATTGGATTGAAATTGTAAGAGATGAACGCTTAACGGCCGAGTGCTTAACAAACCATTCAAGGAGCTTGAAGCTCCAAGGAGCAGCTGATTCTGGAGAGTAATGGGGAAGGGAGCGGAGGAGGGGAGTGTCCCTCTGGGAGATTGACTCAAACAATGGCTCTGAAGCAGACTGAGCTGGACCACACAAGGCACTGAGAAGCTGGCTGTGTAACCTTGGGCAAGTCACTGTCCTCTCTAGGACTCTATATCACTGTGAGAATATGAGGCAGTGGATCTAAATGATCTGATTATTTCAGAAGTGTACAGAGAATTTTATTAATGCGAATGGATTATTAAGGCTGGGGATGTAGCTCAGCTATAGAGCATTTGACTAGCATGTGCAAGGCCCTGGGATTGATCCCCAGCACCACTAAATAAATAAATAAAATAACAAAGACCACTAATTGACTAGCAAGTATTCAATAAGTGTTAAACTATTGTTAGAGTTAGTAGTTTATTGAGCACCTACTATGCTCTAGCACCATGCTAAGAAATATATACATCATCTCATTTGATCCTCAGGATAACCTGTGGGAATAGGACCTATGATGCCTTTTCAGATGAGGGCATAGAGACTCCAAGATGTGAAGTGACTTGGTCAAGATCACACCACTAGAAAGCATCTGAGCTGGGCTTATATCCAGGCAGCAAGGCCCACATTCCTAACCATTCAATCCAAGTCTCCTCCAACAAATCAGACCAATGGCAGTTTTCCTTCATTAATCACTCACTACACCCCCAGGACCATGCTGGCTCTTTGAACTCTAAGAGGTATATATTATAAACCTACTTACGAATGGCAAAACTCAGGTTCAGAGATGTGCTGTGAAGTTCCCTGGGTCACATGTATAGGAAGAGCAAAGAAAGCTTCAGGGTGGGAAGGTCTGTTCATGCCATCTAACTAACTGTCCCAAACCCCAACTCAGCAGGAAATTGAGGCCACAGGCAAATGTCTGGCCATCCTGGTCAGGTCTATAGGTCTACAGGACCCCACATTCTAGTTCCAGCTCTGCCAGGTGAGACTGTGTCCATCACTTGCCCTCTCTGGGCCTTAGCTGCCCTATGTGTAAAGTGGCAAGAGGCTGGCTGGTGATCTCTAAGGACCTCTGCATTTCTAATATCCACTGATCAGATGAGAACATGCCCATGATAGTGCCTTTTGCCCACTTGTCCCAGCTGGGGACAGCATTGAGCACAAGGCCCTGCAATTATATGGCCTCATACAGCTAGGTTGCATGAGGCAAGGAATAAGGGCTGGGCTCTGGAGTCGACCTCAGGGCTTAAATCCTGCTTTGTAATTTGGTGATCTTGATCATTATTTAACTTCTGGCCTCAGTTAATGCTGTGATAGCCATACTCCTCAAGGGGTTGCTGTGAGGATCAGATCATCCACGTGCATGCAGAGCTGAGTCCATTAGAGATGCTCAAGGAATGTTGGCCATCACCATCATTATTATTGGCTTCCAGAAAACAAAGGCTCAGACAAGAAACTGAATGTCAGTGCCCAACTGACCTCTGGGGCCAGCTGGTCCACATTACAAATGAGGAAAGGGAAGCCAGGAGAGGGGAAGTGAGTCCCACAAAACACACAGCACAAGAGGCAGAAATGGAACTGTAACCTCCACTTCCATGGTAGGCCCAGTCCCCTGCCCTGCACAATGGCTCTGCAGAACCCCTCTGCCTGCAGATGGCACTGGGGGCCAGTGTTTCCCACTTACCTCATGAGCTTGTCCCCATAGCCATGTGCCCAAAGCCCAATTCCTGGGCAGGAATTGGCTTCTGCAAGGTCACTGCCCTAAGCACCAACTTCTAGATCAACTACCAACTGCCTCCTGCTTTAGTGCACATTAGGAAAAGGTGCGACCTGCAGAAGCCTTTCGACAGACACAGTGTCTTGCCAGCTGCATACCTCGACAAACAGAATGATGGCCAATTTCAGCTCCAACTCACCTGCTAGCCAGGCGTCTGCACAAGACAACCAATACTACCACACTGCAGCCCTGAGTGGGGGCCAGGGACCCTGAGTAAGGGTCCAGGGACAGGGATGGAGGGGGACAGCTGAAGCATCTCTAGGTGGTGGGGCCCAAACACCAGCAGGGAGTGCTGACTAAGCTGGCCTCCTCTGCTATGATTCATCCTCATCCTCTGAGGGTGGTGTGTTTAGCAGCATGTAAGCAAGCCCCTGTCCCCTGTCTAGAACACAGAATGATCCAGCCCCACTTTCCCACTGGGAACACAGGTGGTGCCACCAACTCACTTCCAGGGACAGGTCTATGGCTGAGACAACATTTGTGACTTCCCAGAGCTTTGCCAGGTGCCAGAGCTGGCTCCTCATAGCCAAGAGGCACAGGGATGCGAGCAGGATAACTCTCTGGGGTCACATAGGTCTGGATTTGAATTCCAGTTCTGCCATTTACACTTATGTGGTCTCTGAAAGTTATTTCATGTCTTTGAGTCTGTCTTTGGTTATAAAACAAGGATCCCATAGCTGCAGAGAATTTACCAAGGTCACTGTCATCCTTCAGTATCCATAAGGGATTGGTTTCAGGACCCTCATGGATATCAAAATCCTTTGATGTTCTAGACCCTTGTATAAAATGGTATATTTGCATATAACGTACACAATTTTTTCCACATACTTTAAATCATCTCTAGAATATTTATAATACCTAATACAATGTAAAAGCCATGAAAATGGTTGTTGTACTATATTGCTTAGGGAATAATCATGAAAAAAATCTCAGTGTTTTGACAGAAAGGACCATGGATATAAAGCAACAACATACAGTAAGTGCTCGAGAATGGAGATGTAGGGCTAGAGCTGAGTGGTAGAGCCCTTGCCTAGCATGTGCAAAGCCCTGTGTTCCCCCAAACTACTTCGGTTTATGGTATCACCCAGGTACTCATTCCCTCACCTACTTGGTAAGCACACCCTGACGCCAATTTAAACTGTGATCAGTAGGGTATCATGGTGCACAACTATAATCCCAGCTACTTGGAATGCTGAGGCAGGAGGATCACAAGAGGAAGGTCACCAGGGAAACTTACGAAGACCCTTTCTCAAAACAAAAATATGGAAGGCAGGAAAACATAACTGCAAAGTCCATCCACAGGCCCCTGGCCCCTCTTATACCTGGCTGTTTTCTATAGCATGTCTCCTCACATGCTGATCACTGTCCTGAGGACCTGCTTCCTCCACTAGCACACAGGCTTCTCATGGGCAGAGCCCTCTGTCCCACAGCTGCTCCCCAGCACCTGGAACAGGGCCTGGCCTACTTCAGGGCCCCCTGCTGCTTGTGGAATGAAGGAGCAAGCAGCCTGCAAAAGTTAAGAACTCCCACTCTGCTCAATGCCAGTACTTCCCAGGCCCTCTTCTCAACCATCTGGGTATAAAGATGAGGAGCACGCAGGAGAGACAAGGAAAGCCCCAAAGTTCTCTCACTGCCACCTAGCTTCATCTCACAGACGTCTGTGTCCACCAGAGCCCTGGCCTGCTCCACTGTGCCGTTGCCCATGGAACCTGGTCTACTGACTTAATCCTCATTTGGCTATCTCCTGGCACCTGATTTCAGCCCTCTAGACTCAAAGAAATGATGACCTACTATTTGAGACACTGAGGGGAATAGGGAAGAAAAGAGACTGGAGGTGAGGTGAGGGGAAATCACTTCAGATTTGTTTAATCCTCATCAAGTCCTCTGAGTAGACAGCGTGGAGTCCTTTTTGCAGATAAGGAAACAGCCTCAGAAATACTTATAATCTACTCACAGCCATGGGCGGGAGAGATACAAAATAATGGTAAAAAGTACCGTCAATAACAATGATGCTTGTACCAGTACTAATGTCTTCTCTTGAATTCTGGGTTAGCAATGTTGAGAACCCCCCATTCGATCTCTTGGAGTCTTCACCACAATGTCGCAAAGGTACATGCTGGAGGCCCCACCGTCAAGGCACCCAGAGCCAACATTCATTCTTGGGTCTGGTGGACCCCAGAGCCCATTCTCTTCCTGCCCCACTATGAGGCTGCTGCAGGGCAGACATTTGTACTTCATCATTCTCTTGGTTCACTTCATTGTGTGCATCTCAGGCACAGAGCTAGCTTTGGCACAGGGCTAAAATAAGCCAACAGCTTGGCCTTGGCCAGGCGCTGGGATGCACACTGTAATTATCCTGGACTTGTGCTCACCACATGCTGCCCTCAAGCTCACCTGTCATTTCTTCTAATTATGGCACCACCAGAGTCCAGGTAAACAGTAAACCACAGCCAGAGGACAGCTTTATTGCACACCCACTAGGAGCACGGAAATGTCCCGGTGCCACGTATGTCTGCCGTCTGGAGTTTGATGGCAACAGAATTGCCCTGTGGGGGTGGCCCACCAACAGCCTGCTCGGGCCCCTGCTCCAACAGAAGTGCCAAGAAAATGCAGATGTCTTTCCTGACAGGAGCTCCCATATGTTAGGGGCATCCTTCAGATGTCCCAGTGTTTAACTGCAACTACACAGCTTTCTCATTCTGACCTTGTTTGGATGTTTGCTTCCTGCCCATTTTGGAGTGAGGTGCTTCATCTTATTCATAGCAGTCTAAGGTAGTGGGAGCCCCACCCACAGAAATTTCAAACTCAGCAGGTCTGGGATAGGGCCAGGATCTAAGCAGGCTGATTCCAAAATCCTCCGAGCAATGCTAGACTAGGGTGGCAGATGACAGACTGGAAAACAGAGAGGGTGACAGTCTCCTGAAGTCACACAGACCACCCTGGTCTAGCCTTGGAAGTTATTTTTCCTTAAACACAGATAGTCCTCAACTTACAATGGTTCAGCTTTGGATTTTTGACTTTATAATGCAGTACAACGCTGGGCTCCAGTGGTGCACCACAACTCCCAGTCAGTGCTGCTGGCACAACAGGAAATGACCTGACTCTACACAATATACTGTGCTGCTAAATTGGGAGGCTTGGTAGGTTAGCTGTATCAAATGCATTTTGTGTGTGTGGGGGGGGACGGTGTATGGTGCTGGGGATTGAACCCAAAGGCTCATGAATGCTTGGCAAGTGCTCTAACCTTGAGCCACACTCCCAGCATTTAAATGCATTTTTGATTTACCATATTTTCAATTTACAATGGATGTATCAGGAGGTACCCCCACCATAAGTCAAGCAGTATCAACCAACCCAGGTCTGAATTTCATCCCTGACATTGACTGTATAAATCTCAACAAACTAATCACCCTTTGCATCTCATCTGGAAGACAGGAGTAATAATGCTATTCTAAAAGATGACTATGAGCATTCAGTCATGAGTGCTGGGTGCTGAGCACAGTTTCTGGCACACAGATAGTGCTCACTGTGCATTTGTGGAGATGGCAGCCAGGCTCCATGGCCCCCAGGGATCCTCCTTCCTGATTTTTCCACTTTGTATGATCCCTCAAGAGCTGCATCAGAGTTTAGTCTGTGTGAGCTAGAGAAGAGAGGTGATGGTACGCCATTTCCATGGGCAGGTTATAAAACACACTGCAGCTTCCTTCTCAGTGCCTTTCTCTGATCACTTTTATCTAGAGGACGTCAGCTGCCACATGGTAAGCAGCCCTATGGTGAGGCCCATGTGGAGAGAACTGAGACCCCTGCCAACAGCTGAGTGTTATAGTTCAGATATGAGGTGTCCCCCAAAAATCTCACGTGTTAGTGCAAAAAGTTCAGAGGTAAAATAACTGGCTTATGAAAGCCTTAATCTCATCACTGTGCTAATCCACTTAAATGGATTA